ACCATCAATAAAAACCTGAACATCCAAAATAAATCTTCCCCAAACCTTGGTAACTATGTCCCCAAGTCTGCCTTCCTTATAACCATGAAAATCAAGCCCAAGCTCTCATAAAAAGTTCTATTACACTTAGATACATTTGAAACCCTAATTCACAGGCCTAATATTCTTAACAGATTATTCTCATCAACAAGACTATTTGCCAACATGACTAAAGTTCCTCTGTGTACATTTTGCTTTCAAGCAATCTTTATCCAATTGGCATTGCTCATTAGTCCAAAAAATGAAACTTGTCAGTTTTTAGTGACTCATGAGGTGATCTTCATTTATTAGCTAGTATTATTTATTAGCTGAAGATGAATAAATGGCCCATATTTCTGCATGAGAAAATTGTAAGTCTTTTAGAAAAGAATATGAAATGGTTCTGGTGTCCTTTGTAACATCTTACCCATGCTTCCTTTATTCACATCATCCAAGTCACCACTATCCCTGTAAGGATACATGCAAAACCTCAATAACAATGACTTGTACTTCTACACTTCTACGATACATTCTCCGCATAGTAGCCAAAGAAATCATATCGCTCCCTATTTAAAGCATTCCATGCCATTCCTTATTCTGGCTTGCCAAGGTTTGCCTATTCCTTGACCTCACATAGTAGCCTTCTTGCACTCACTGAACTCTAGCCACTGTTGCCTACTTTCTGCCCTCTTTTTCTAACTGTATCCTACCTTAGGGACTTTGCAGTGGCTATTGCCTTTGCATGATATGCTTTTCCTTGATTTTTGTATAGCTGACTGCATGGCCTTCAGATCTTAGCCTAAAAATCACCCCTCAAAGAAACCTTTCCTGATCACTCAGCCTACACTAGCCAACCATCTCAATCACTCCTATTTAATCCCATGTAGCATTTAATATTCAAATTGTGTATTAGTTTGTCATTGCACTAGAAAATAAGTTCCATGAACACAGAAACTTGCTCTAGTATTATTTCCAGAAACTGGAATGCCTAAATGTGACCAAAAATAATAAAATCCTGTAAAATGCATAAAATGTCTATTATATGTAAGGTCTTGTGTTAAGTAGCCCTCAACATTGAAGTGTCTCATTTTCTGCCTTAAACTTACAGATGTTAAGTAGAAAATATTGTGATTCAGTGTAGTCTATAACTTTCATCTCAAAATTATTAAGCAAAGTAGTTATCTATCTTATCTGCCTCAAGATTATCAAAGAAAAAATACATCACTACTAAACAATAAGTGATGCCCGTAGATACATAGCCAGCACTTTCCTGAATCACACAGGCAACCCTACATAAGCATCCCACAATAATCCTCAGTACACAGATGCTGCTTTTGGCAGTCACTGTCAATCATGGTGTTATTATATCATAAAATGGGAAATAATGGAAACAAACTATCTAGAACATAGTAAACTGCCAACATGAGATTAAGACATCAAAACAAACTATGAATATTAGCGGGACGCATGTCAGATTGTTATAGGGCAGCCCCAAAATTGAACGGGTTGCCTGGCTGTGGGTCCTCACCCACGTGCTTAAAAGGAACTTATTAATACTCCACTATAGGCACACAAAAGGCTAATAAAAGGTTTATTTACAAGGAAAAAGAAAATAAGAAAAATGTACAACTCAGGGAGAAAATAAAAAAATAAAGTCTTTAATGCGTCCTACCCGATCCGCCGACCTGGAAACCCAAAGACACTCTCAGAGCTGGCCAGACACTGCGAGCTGGCGAAGAGCCAAAATGGGGGATCCCCTCCAAAGCCCACGTGTCTGGCTTTATACCAACCTGGCTGCTTCACCCCACCCTCAGGTCCCAGCCACCTTCCCTTTGGTGGTTATGGGATTTGGAGTTCCCAGTGTCTTTGGCTTTGGCCTGGGGTGGGGGTGGAGTCCACAAAGCCTGTATGGAATTAGCTTTGGGACATCCTTTTCCCCCTAACAAGATCGCTCTTAGAGAACTGTGGTTCAGGGAAAATGCTCTTCAATCCCAACTCTATAAGTTTAGATCATCTTATTGCAATTAACTTGAAATAGCAACTTTTCATTTGTAGAGTGGCTCAAGACAGAGAAGACTGATAAGTAGATTAAGATCTTGAGGCAAAGTGCAAAAGTGTAAGTTCAATTAATAGCATGCAATAGGTAAACTACACAAATGGGCAGGTTATCTTGGATGAGTTGCACTGAAAACGTGAAGATTACCACTAACTTGCAAGTAGACAGACAAGTCAATGTTGATAATAAACTTTAGTAAGAATAAGCTTGCCCCAAATGGTAACCTACTGTCCCTTAGAAAGGTAAGCAAAACAGTTTAAAGAGCCCACAGTCTGCTAAATAGTCCTGAAACAGATCACTCAGGTAGGAAGAAGGTTGAGAAGGACAGGAATAACGCCAGTTCTTTTGGGGCTCAGTTTTAGACAGTTCCTAGTTGCCTCTAAAAGGTGTTATAAATTTGTTTATAATAGTAATCTATCAGAACTATAGATACCTCTTTTCTAAAAGTCAGAACAATATTTCAACTGTGTAGTCTTTCCTAGCAAAACAAAATTAATCCCATCACACCGCATACCCCTGTATATCTTGGTAATTACCAAATAGCCAAGTCTTTCGGACCATACATACCAGACATTCCCTAATGGCCCATATATTCATCCCATGTTTCAGTGGTCCTCAAGCTTTTTGACCTCAACTAGGAGTAGAAATATATTTCATATGACTCAGTACACACAAATAAAATCACACGTTTCCTGATGTACTTTTCCTGATATATTTATTTTCTATCCTACTGTATTTTGTGTTTTAAAAATTCTAGTGATGAACAATTACATTGATTTAATGATCTGAAGTTTAAAAACCAATACCCGACCCTTACCTACTCCACCCCCAATCTTTACATGTACATTCTTGAATAACTGATTCACAAGCTCTCATGCATCTTCAACATTGTCTCTCAACAGTCTCTCCAGTGCCGGGACTTCATGAAATTCAGACGTACCTCAAAGACTATTTCCCCTAAATTCTCTCAAATGAAGGCATTCTGTTTCTTACAACTACATATCTAGGGATGAGGAAGTGGTATAGGTTTCCTCGATTCACCCCATTTTTCTCAAAGCATGTCTCCATTTTTGCTCCTTCAAAAACACCAGCTCTTTTGAAGCTCATAGGCCCTATGAGGACCCAGCTATACTAGCCTCTACCTCAAATTTTGAATATTCAAAATTGAATTGATTTTATTCACTCATTTAAATTTATTTCTAAGGCAATCTCAGTATATGGTAATCCGACCCAAGTCATTCAATCCAAAAAGTAATGATTTACACTTTAGTCTCCTACCATTTTTCACAAGCTATTTGGTAGCAAATTCTATCAATTCTATATTCAAAACAGATCTAGAATTTATTCACACCTCTCTGTGCTCACGCCATCATCATTCCTCAATGGACTACAACAGCTACCTGTTACTTGCTCCATATTTGTCCATTTCAAGCTCATGGGAGCCCGTGCTCAACAGTGACCCAACTTCAGAGTTGACAGTAACCCCTTTTAAGAACTTCGAAGTCTAGAAATGCTAGATTCAACATTTGTGATTATCTACTTAACTTCTCTGCATTCCCAATTATATTCACTAGAGACTGAGAGATACTCCTTTCCTTCCTAGGGCTTAATATACTGACCAAAAAAGCACCAACATCTGTGGAAAAGATTTTACTTTCTCTAAACAGGAATGTTGGTAGAAAGGAGGCCTCTGCTTTTAGTCTGGAATTAAGGATTCTAGGAAAGTAAAAATCAAGAGGCAGTTCTTATCACAATATACTTTACCAGAAGCTAGTCATCAGTATAATCCTACCACGGCTCCTCAGTGGTGGTTGACATTGAGGTCCCTATGACAGAAGGGTTAACCCACTAAGCTAAGCACTACTTCTAGAACTGAAAATTCCTAATCAGTTAAACAGAGGTCTAATTTGAGCCACAGTGAGCTCAATCACATCTTCTACTAAGGTCTTGCTCTGTTTGCCTGCTTCTAAATTAGCAGTTTTGGGTTATATTTTTCAAAAATTTGATACTCTCCCTCTAGAAAAATGCACCAAAGAAAATATTTCATAGTTCAAAGGTTCCTGGAGGCCCTCCTGAAGGATGACCTCTCAAGTTATACCTTCCACCTTGGACTCCATATTCAATATCGAATCTGAGTCCCATCACCACCACCTAAGTTTTCAAACTGCACAATTATTGCCCCATCCCCCAGCATACTAACTCTCTACAGTAATTTATTTTTATTATTTTGTGGTAGATAATTAAAGCAAGTACCTTCTAGATCATTTGACTGAGTACCTAGGGTACAGGCACACACAACCCAAGACCGTGTGTGTTATTACAGTAGCATACTACCATAAAACAAAGTAATGCATGGGAATTGAATAACAGCACACTTATACAGTTGATTCCATTTAAGAGAATATGCTGCTTTTATTTTCAAATGCATCAAATTTGTATAATTAGAGAAATGTGACATAAGAACTAAATCTTTCCAAGGTATTAGTAGCATGTTGACAAGCCCTGCTTTAAAAAAATTGTTGCATACTATAATCATACTGTAAGCAATTTGTAAATTACATCATATGCCACATTGTTAGGGATCCTGAATTTTATTAGTTTTCTGACTAACACAAACAGTTCTGTTGTTATTAAAAGCTAGGAAAACACAACGAGTTGTTTCATATTTACACATCTAAAACATTAATAGAAATTTCTAAGAATAAAACCAAGCTACTTAAGTTTCCTAAACATATCTTGCACCTAGAATTACTGTACTTTTCACCTGTAAATACTTTTTTCCACTGGTATATGACAAATTATTTCTACTGATATTTTATACTGCTTTTGCTTTTTCATACTCCTTCAAACAGAATTTTAAGGTAACTGGTTTTAACATAAAAGATTCAAGTGTACAGAATTATAACTCACCATTCACATACATTCTATCAAAGCTAAATATACTCCATGAGTGTGTTTCATCCATGTACAGGGGCCATGCTAATCTTCTCTGTGTCATTTGAACTTTATCTGTGTGCCACCCAAGCATGCACCACTATGCTCTTATCCAACCCTAGGATGCCTCCAAACCTTGAAACATCTGGTTTTAGAAAATTCAAAGCCCGCATAAATGCCAAAACAATATTTGGCTCCCCAAGGAAAGATTTGTCTTATCTACATATTGAAAGTCATAGCTGTAGAATTGTGCTGTCCAATATGGTAGCTAGGAGGAATATGTAGCTACTTAATAAAACCAAAAATTCCCTTACTCAGTCACACCGGTCACATTTCTAATACTCAAAAGGCTCATGTGGCTGGTGGCTAGAACACTTTCACAATTACAGAAATTTCTACTGAGTGGTGTTGCTCCGTAACTTTTCCCAGTAAGCTCTGAGAAGGCTGCTCAAATATCAATTCAATGTTGATGATTTCGAAGTCTTCTAAAAATTAACCTAATGGAATATCTTCGGTGACCTACTTGGATCTCAACTCTACCTTTTCAACTGGAGGGATGGTTCGGTGGCAAGAAAATCATTAGGTATAATCAAGAATGGGAAAGATTTTCAGGGAAAGGTTAAGACTGAGTTTGAGACAGCAGGAATAGTTCTATAAAAACAGTACTAAATATTAATTAAAAGGCAATGTACTCACTCTTCTGTACTCATCCATCCTAAAATATTTAAAAACCGCTTTGCATTCACACCTAAAGATACATTCACACCTAAAGGTACATTCACACCTAAATGAAAGATGCATTCACACCTAAAGATACACCTAAAGATACTAAAGATACTATTCACTCAAGTAAACTCACCTTTGTTATGAAAGTTATATTAAGATAAATTTAAAATCAGTAAATATAAACACAATTTAGTCTATTTTAAGGTTTATTTTAATTGCATTTATAATTTGTTCAAAGTGATTTTAAAAATCTCAAAAATAACATAATGAATAATGCATTCAGATTTACAGCTACGTAGCCCAATTCAGATTTACATTTCCCAGCTTCCTCTACACTGTATAATTAAAAAAAAAAAAAAAAAAAAGACAGTACAAGATCTTTACTTGTTCACTTAGCAAATATTTATTGCATTGTTAAAGTTCTCATTCTCTGCCTTCCAGTGTAAGGGCTGGAAATAACTTCCCCTCAACGCATCCACATACAGGTGCTGTTGTTTCCTATGCCACCAAGAAGCTACACTGCAGACCTACCTTATTAACTTGCTTGTTTTGCTAATATTTTATTCTAAATCACTGTAGATTAGTCACTGCTGTGTATTTGTGCTAACTTAGTCTGATACCCTTCTTATTCTGCTAAATCAACTAACCAAAAACCCCCCAAAAAATGTTGACAGTATGCTCATTTAACAGAAGAAAGCTTCATGTTTCCAGTATCTAATGAATCACTGGTTTTCCTCTTGACCACAGTCAGTTACACTTTAGACAAGCCAGTCTCCAAGAAGATGGGCTGCTGAGACATGCTGACCTGTTTTACTTAGCCCCAGAAAGGGATATAAATTTGTTCTAAAGGGCTCCACTCCTAATATTATACAACATATCCCTTAGATTATTGTGAAGGCAAATAAGTACTGATGATGAGAAGAAATCACTAACGAATAAACTGGTCGCGTCCCTGGAAAAGCTATGAACCCATCACCGAGTCTGCTGTGGCCTAAAAGAAAGGCACTGTCTCCAGAGGCCAGGGTCCTGGGAATGTGGAATCCCCTGGGCATGCAAGGAAGACACTCACATTTGTGAATCTCAGTTTCATCATCCATTAGGGAAGAAAGCAGATAACGTTGTACTGCAAATATTCTGCAAGATCAACTGCACTGTCTCCTTGCCAGTCCCTTTAACATTATTATTAACTAGCCACAAATATGTTTTCTGCTTTATAGAGCTATTTAAAGTTGCTGTTACTCTACGAAAACTTTATTTTTAAAAATATGAAACTCCCTTTTCTAGCTACTTTAATAAAGTCAGAAGTAAAAAATAAGATCACACCCCCAAAAATTCAGATAGAAAGATTCCAAAAACAATGACAATGACAGACATTTCCAAAATAATGTATGGCATGTTAATTTATTCAATATTTATGGCCACTATAACCATCTGGAACGAGGTGGATATTAAATAAAATAAACATGAGGCAAGCATTTATTAAGTACTTACCTTGTGCTAGGCTTTGGACTACAATGCAAAACAAACAAAAAAAGACATGGTCCCTGCCCTCATGGAGCTCACACTCTACTTGAAGCAGACAAACTCACAAATACAGTGGAAAAGCACCAGGGAGGCTTATGGAAGAAGAGATTGGTTCTGCTTGGAGAATGCAGGGCAAGCTTCAGAGAGATGCAGGCAATGGAGCTGGGCTTGGATGAGTAGGAGTTCGCCAGATGAAGGGGAAGGGGGGGAAGCGCATTCCAAGCAGAGGAAACAGCACATGAGCAAGCAGAGTCTTGAAAGCACATGCCATGGTGCAGGCTGATGAGTGGTCCAACGCAGCTAGAGCAGAAAGGTGCACACAAACTAAAGAGACGAATTAGTTTTTGGTTTTTAGTGAATCGTAACTATCAGGGAACACATTACATTAGTATAGCTTAACTGTGATTCTGGTAACAACAGGGTAGTCTGAAAGCTTTCCATTCATTTCATAATTATTTGAGCCCCTTCCGAAGGTAGCTAGCACTGTGGTTGGAGTTTTAAACAGGCAGTTTTAAAAAAATAAATCTTAAAAATTTTCTTCTGTATATTTAAGAAACAAAGCCAGAAAAAAAGATTTTTTAAGCTGAAATCACAGAGCTTTGCTTTAACACGTTCATGGTCCTAACTTTTGCTAACTTGAACTCCCTCTATCCTGACTATGTTATCCTTCTCGATACCTTCAAAGCTATCAACTCAAAGTAACCTCACAGTTAAACAACAGAGGCAATTTCAGCCTCCCTTTCTCAGGCTGCTTCTCTAAACAAGGTACTTGCCAATGTCTTTACAGAAATCAAAGCAAGGTGACCAATGCAACATATGAGGAAACAATACCAATTTTTGGAAATTCAACTACTGTACTGTATACAAACTACTACGCTGAATTCAGGAAAAGCAAAAAGATAAGGAAGAGCTCTTGGGTCAAAAGGTTTCCTACACTGGCCACCAGGCGACGTGGCTCAGAGATAGGCTGGTGCTTGGGAAGGTGCAATGGAAAAGGAAAGAAACTAATATGGGTCAAATATTTTGCGAGATGTCTTCACAAATTCCTGTTTACTCCTTGCAATAATGCTCAGGCAAATATTTCATCCCCTTAATTTTAAAAATAAGAAAGCTGCAGTCATCAGTAAAGTTGCCAAGGACTGCATGAGCTATTAAGGGGCAGGGTTAGTACACCAAATCGGCCTTGCTGAGTCCAGAATACTCCCTCCTCTTCTATGCTACCTCGGGGTTTTTAAAACAAAGACAGCACTCCTAAGGGGCTTGCAGGATTATACTATTCTTATCCCTAGAAAGAAAAGCCCTTATTTTTCCTTCCACCATTTTCACAATCAGTGAGACAATGGTAGTGACAATACACATACACATGTCTCCGAAATTTAGAGGGAGAAAAAATTAGTTGCCAATGGGATTGGGAAAAGTGTTTCTTTGTAAAGATATGCAGTGCTTTAATACAATTAAATTAGCATCATAATTCAAACGCTACTTGTTTAAATTTCCTATACAATATACCATTAACTAAATAGCTCAATAAAAATAAGAATAGAAAATCTCCAGAGTATTAGGATAAGAATATTGGTCCTACAAGTCATAATCTTCACCTTCATCAAAGTCAAAATAAAAATTGCCCTTTCTCAAATCCTAATACTAAGTGCATGTGCCGCGTTACAATTTAGCCTGTTTTTTGGCAATAGGAACTATTTTAAAGAGGATAAAAAATGGAGACAATTAACATCAACAAAGAATCTTCTGTAAATAGTCCCACTGGGCCAAAAGTGTGATGTATGTTAACCCAGAGAGATAGTGAAATGTTGTTTTCATTTTACTTATGTTATCTTTTTATAAATACTACCAACTAGCAGGAAATTAATCAGATTTTTAAGTCAAAATATTCTGCAGAGGGAGGGGGAAAAAATTGGAATATTTAGACAACCAAGATTACAGTGACATAAGTACTTTTTGGAAAGCTTTTGAAATGGTATATAAATATATAGGCTATAAGTAAATTAAGCAACCAACCTTATTTTGATTGAGAGAATCATTCCGCAGTCTCTGTTTGTTCTTCTGTAATTTACTAGGCATCATCTTTCCAGTTCTGAAGTCAAAACTGCTGAGGTCAACAGTATTTCCCAGGTACCTGGCCAACTGAGGTTTGCTTCTGAACTTCTTACCACTCGGACTGGAAGAAAAATAACATCAATTGTACAAAAGACAAAAGTTACTCAAGTTCTCTACATAAACCTTTCTTCACACCTTCCTCTCTCTTCCCAACTATTATCACATCATGATGTTATGGTTTTATCCAAAAGAAATGTTAAAGTTTTAAAGGAACATCATCACATCCCTGTAAAAGCGGTAACACGCCATCTAACATGACACTTAGCTAAACACACCACTGCAGCATAGTACAGATGTTTACTACAGATAATCCCAATGGTCACTCCCTCATCAACCACTGACAGTCCCGACACTAACTGCAGGGCACAGCACAATAAGCACACTGCAAATGTCTTCAATCTTATAAACTTTTTTTCCATATTGACTTTGAAATGCCTTTTTTCCCCTGTATGTACTACATATAACACAATACCAGCAGTAAGCAGAAAGAACTTCAGAAGGAATTCTTCTAAAACCAACAACCTTTATTAAAAACACATGAACACATAGGACCAGATAATCTTTGAGTTACTAATTTGAACTCATAATATTTACAACAAAAAATTCTTGAATTTTGACGATATTTAGAGGAGAAAACTAAGGCAAACATTTACAAATGTGTTTGTATAATACTAACGTGAGTTTTGTTAGCCAAGCTCCTACCTTAGAGAAGCATATCAATAATTTATTGCT